GACAGCTCCAGCACCAGCCCCTGGGCCTTGAGGACCACGTGGGTGATGGTGGGCCGGGAGCCGGCCAGGCCGCGGCGCAGCTGGACGTTGAAGTCCTCGTAGGCGGCCCCGCAGTGCGCCGAGAACACGTAGTTGCAGAGGCCGGGGAAGCGGAACACGTCGCCGTCGAAGGTCTTGTAGTGGAAGTCGCCCCACGTGCTGCAGACCCGCCCGTTGTGCGCCGGGTTCAGGGCTGTGGGGAGCGCGGTGGAGGCCCCGCTGGACGCCATGGCACTGCCTCCCTCCCCTCAGCACCTCTGACTCCCGACCCCGGTGCCTGCCCAGCACCCGGGCCACCCGGGAGAGCTGTCCGCAGGGCAGGCTCCCCGCTGTGCCCACGGCCGCCCAGCTGCCCCTCAGCCCCAGCTCTACCCCTGGTCTGTGACCCCAGGACCGGCAAACACCCGCCCCCAGCAGTGGGCGCATCCACTCACGGCTCATGGTGGGGAGGACGGTGATGGGCGGGAGGAAGATCGTGCGCTGGGCTGCGGAGTGAAGGCAGGCACTCAGGGGAAATGGCCAAGCAGCCACGCCCCTTCCCGGGACCCCACCCTCCTCACTGCCACCCTGGGGAGTGGGAGCCTCAGGCCAACCCTGACCCACCCCAGGGAGCCTGGGCTGATGGCTGCCCCTGCTGGACCCTCCCTGCTGCCCGAAACAGGCTTCGCTCGGGGCTTTTGTGTGAGTGCGTGCACGTGTGAGCGTGTGTGTCTGTGTGTGCATGTATGTGTGAATGTGTGCATGTATGTGTGAGTGTGTGGACATGTGTGTGCCTATTGTGTGTGGACATGTGTTGCACACTGTGTGAGTGCGTGTGAGTGCATGCATGTGTGAGTGTGCATCTGTGGGCATGTATATGTGTCTGTGCATGTGTGTGTGTGGATATGTATGAGTGTGCATGTTTGTGCACGTATGAATGTGTGCATGCATGTGTGAGTGTGTGGACATGTGTGCACACTGTGTGTGTGAGTGTGTGTGAGCATTTGCGTGTCTCCTTTGTGCCTTCGTGTCCTGGCTTCTAACTCAGCCCCTGCACACCCTCCTCCCTGGCAGATGGACTCCGGGAAGGTCTGTGCGTCACATGTGGATGGAGACAGGGGTCCGGCCCCCACCCGGCCCCTTCCGCCTTCTGGGCAGCGTACCAGTGTCCATCCTCCGACTGCCCTTGGCTGCCTCTGTGTCTGCCCAGCTCGGCCCTGCGCTGCCCTGGGGCTCTGTGGGGACAGGATGGAGTCAGTGGGGACCGGACACGCCACCCGCCTTGGCGGCCTGTTTGGGTGTCGAGGTGGCGGCCACAGGAGCAGGCTCTGGCCTCCGGTCACTCAGGGACAGAAAGCGGAGCCTCCGCTGGGCGGTTCTGGCAGGGGCTGCACCTTTGGCGCCTGTGCTGCCCCCGCCTCCCGGCTACGAGCTGCCTCGTCCTCCTGTCCCTGTGACAAGGCAGGAATCAGGAAAAGGCGGCGGCCCCACTGGCCCCGGCCACCCCAGGAGAGGGCTCGCCACCCCAGGTCCCGCAGAGAAGGACAAAGACGGGCTTTGTTGGGGGCAGGACACCGGAGCCCGGAGGCTCCCAGGCATGACTTAGCAGAAACCCAAAACCCAAGACCAGGACCCGAGCAGCAGGCGTGGCAGGTGGGCACCAGGGCCCCGGCACCGGGTGGCCGAGGTCGCCCGAGTCCGCCTCCTCCAGGCAGCCCCCTGCCTGCCTGACCAGGGCC